TAAATCACTTGTATCGTAATTTTTTATCGCGCATTTATTCAATAAACGGGTTCTTGCTTCACCCTCCCTTTTGGGAAAAAAAAAAAAAAAAAAAAAAAAATATATATTACTTAGATAAATTAGAAGATGCAGTCTATTATAAAGCAATATGTCAAGTACTTAAATTACTTTGAATTGCTATTGAAATAATAATTTATCAATATTTAAATATATAAATTTAATAATAAAGAATATTTTAATAAAATTAATAAAGTAGTAAAAGTATAATACTTATATTATCATTGGGCAGAGTCTTTGAAAAGACTATAAAATTGGAATTTGTATAACAATTATAAAATATAATTCGAAAACTTGCAGCATTTTCTTCTCTTTTTCCTATTATAGAAAAGTCCAATTATGCAAGATCAGTAACTTATTTTTTGGTACTTATAAATGATAATCCTACTTTAAAACAAAAGCTTCAAACAAGTTTATTCTGTAAATTTAACAAAAAAAGGAAAAAATTTAGCTTTGATTAAGTAATAGAAATATTTGGTGTAAAATTCATAAAACAAATTATCAAGGGAAATTGTATTGATCAGAAAAATCTTAATTTGCAAATTCGATCTGCTTTAGCAGAAAGAGATTGGTTAATTTCAGAATTTTCTAGTAATTCTGTTATTAATTAAAAGTGATCATGCAATAAATAATAGAAAAGAAGCACTCTAGTCATTCACAAAAAAATAACTGATATTCCTTCTAGATAATCCCTGTTTGCATCTGTTATTTGAAGATGCAAAAGAAATGTCTCCCAATGGGATTTCATTCTTATAATATAGGAATTCAACGACTTAACTCAATTTTGAAATAAGATATATATATATATATATAAAATACAAATATGTAATGTTAAAGGTTGACAAACAAGAGATATTATATGATAATTCATTTGCTAATATTCAAAAGGGCAAGAAAATAAAATCTAATACAACTGTAAAAAAAGATGAGGTATTAGTTAATACAATAACTGAAATAAATATACAAGAATATAATAATAATAAATCAAATACAATATCAACATTTATCACTATTTAATCGAAGTATATTAGAAAAGAAACAACACAAGCCGAAAAATCTATACTTGCCACAATGCTTGAGAAGTCATTATCTAATGGTCAAATAGAAAAAATGTTAATTGAATTAAATCAAATTTCATCAAATTGGACTTTGGATAAGATCAAACAATATCAAAGAAATAACAAATGCAAGTGTAAACATAAAAGTAATGATAATACATATTATAACTGAACTTTTTTATACTTTTCATAAATCATTTATTCAAGTTATATATGTTAGACATGTTTTGTAATTAAATTTTGTCATTTTTATATGTTAGATACTTTAAGAGTTTTTAAAATATTATGAAAACATGTTAACTAAGAGATAAACCTTGTCATTATGAGGCATTATGAAATATAAAAATGATACACTTTGCCATAAAAAAAATCGTTTACAATGGTGCAAAGAAAAAAAGGATTGAAATATTGAATGGCACCAAATTGTATGGTCAGCTGAGTCCTGATTTTCTCTTTCTCACATACTAGAATATGCGAAACTCTTCTGAAAAACACATGGAAAGTTGTGTAGTTTCAACAATAAAATATGGTGGATTATCAGTTATGTTTTGGGGATGCATTGGGTGGGATGGCGTTGGACCTTTGGTAGAGGTCAATAATGATCTCGATTCTGATGGTTATGTTAACATTTTGGCTAAATTTAATTCCTTGGATGAATAATAACTCTTATACACTCTTTAAGCAAGATGGTGGTGCTTCATGTCATTATACTAATTGGTGGAAACAAACTCATAATATTCCAGTTTTGGAATGGGTTACCCAAAGTCCCGATTTAAATCCAATTGAGCATATGTGGGACCATTTAGACCGTCAGATTAGAAAAAGAGAGCTCTTCCTTTTTCCAAAAGGATTTAATCGATGCATTGATAGAAGAATGGCAAAAGTGCCTTTAGATGTTGTACGCAATTTAATTTCCAGTATGCCACACACATCGAATTATGGCTGTTATCAATGCTAAAGGATCACATACACATTAATAGTTTTTTAATAAATTTTCAATTAAGCATTATTTTATAGCTTTTTTGCTTTTGAACTATATAAATCTTAGATGAGATTGTTTAGTGCAATATATATTTAATTAAAAAGAATATATAGATACTTTTCAAAATCGAAAAATTTGTAAATCATGCACGTGATTTACCATGGTCGGTGTACATGTATAAAGGTAGTGCACGTTTTCAATGTACGGTATTGATTTGCGCTTCTCATTTCAGTATAAATACTACAAAGATTGATGCTTTATCCAACTACATGTATTTTCTATCGACCACACTAATTGCGAACAGCTGTTCAACACATATATTTTTGTGATACTTAAAACTCATTCTAATAAGTTAAAGGATTAAAATAAAATGACGACCGACTTATTATTGATTTCAACAAGCTAGCTAAATTTTACGAAAATGGCAATTTTTGTGATATTGCAATAGTTGTTGGTGATGGAAAAATTTACAAACCTTTACCGCACATTCGTCTGTTTTAATGGCGCAATCCCAATATTTTGCCGTCGCACTTTCTGACATTTGGGTGAAACGAGAACCAAATAAAATGATTACTTTTAAGAAACCGAATATTTCGCCACGTATTTTTGAAATATTATTGAGGTAATTAATTATGACATGTATCGATACATGTATCCAGCAAATAAAATTTATTTTTGGATGTGTTAGATAAATGTATTGTGGAAAAAATCGACTTGAATGAACATGGAGTGCCGACACTTTTAGACTTATTGATTGCTGTAGATGAGTTTGTTCTTGACGAATTGCTTGCATACATTCAAACCTTTTTTTTGGACATCATATCGAGTCGAGGACTGAAAATTTTTACTTGATTAATCAAGTCGTATTCGAACATGACTCTTTTACATAACTTCACAAATTTTGCACAGATATTGCATGTCAAAATCCTGCCATTATTTTTCAATCGAATAATTTTACAAAGCTTCAAGAAAAAGTGTTGGTTTCATAGCTCAAACAGGTTGATTTGAATCTTCAAAAAATTAACATGTGGTTGAAGGGGGAACTGCTCAACCTTTCGATTCGGAGAATTTTGACTTTACGAATCCCGTGGAGAAATGGCCACAAAACGAATTTAGACAATTAAAATTTGCACTCGCTTAAGCAATGTTTATCATTAATCCGTATCTTCCATACAAATTCTGTCAACTTTTATAATGAAGTAATGCCCTATTCGGAACTCCGATCAGCAAAGTTATACAGATTTATTGCAGCATTATTTGGTTCCAGGAAACAAAGATCTTAAAGTTAACAAACATCCTATTTGAAATTCAAATAACAATAATGATACTGACTCCACTATACTTACCTGAAACCAAATTAATAAAATAAATGAATGGATAAAGTTGCAAGATATGAAATTAACTCAACTATTTGATTTAAAACTATTGTTACGAAGCAGTCGAGATGGATTAACTGCAGTTGATTTTCATCGACTTTGTGATAACATACAGTGACTCATGGATTAAATGGAATACGGGAAAAAAATTGGCGAGATACGAATATCTCACTATTGAAGAATTGTACGGCGTCAAAAGTAGGTGCATTTTATTTGTTAAAATGCTGCCATCAACTAATGCAAATTTTATTTTCATCCATCATTTCTATTTTACACAATAATTTTTTTTAGTGTTCCGCGCAATCCAACCAAATTGGAAGAAGAAATTCAGGCTCATAAAGATAAGTATAAAAGTATCTTTTTTTGTTTTGGTAGTAGATGGAAAACTAAATGACATTACTAACAATAACCAAAACAAAATTTTAATTCTCAATGCCTCGGATTTCCCACAAAAAATGTGTCCATATTTATGCTCTTCGACAAGAAGGGTATTCATTTTGAGAATCGCTGCGTCAGAGCCGGTGGGCGTGGCTTCAGTCCACCAAATACTGTATGCAAGACGAAAGACAAACTGGAGGCTTCAATGAAGACCCAAGACCTGGCTGTACACCAACCCTTTCGCCACGCTATAAGTGAAGCATAGTATGACTAATGCAGTCTAGAAAATGTTTTACCACTGTTTAGATCCAACGTGAGCTCAAAAATGAGCTGGATATTAATTTATCAGCGGAGAGTATATGAAGAATGCTTCAAAAAAATGGCTTATCCGCAAGAATAAAGCAAAAAAGCCTTTACTCAGTAAAATATGCGTAATTTTATGATATAACTTTGATTTATTGCGCATTCATGTAGATCGACTTTTAGTCGACTTGAATCGACTATGATTCATAGTCGGTAAAAGTCGAGTTGAGTTTAGTCGAGTCGAGTCGAGTCGAGTCGTTAGCATCCCTATTCGTGAGCACATGTCATAAGAAAAACGTATTTGTAAATTCAATTGAAATAATTGCTAATCAGCTTTTGACTTTTCGTATATTACCACGGTAAACGAATTTAGAGAAGTAGCACAACTACCTCGTCCTAATGTCTATATATTAAAGACAGACAAAAAATTTAACATCCCCGACGAAATAATGGCGGAGGTTTTGATATTATTTATTATAATAAAATTCGAAGCAAAAAAATTTTTAAAATATTTGTGGTTTCCAAGTGATCTTATGAACAAGAGAACATACAAAATTGAAACATATTATACCATCAAAAGGAATTCAATGATGGTATTTTCATCTCATTTTGGTACCTGAACAATAAGAAAATGGTGATCGAGAGTATTTTTTTCTCATAAAATCCTATTTACATAATATTTATAATTGCAATATGGCCATAACAAACAAAACGTGGGACGAATTGTTAAATAAATTGAGTAATTTTAGAAAATCCATAACAGTGACTCATACCTTCCATCTTCATCAATTCATTCTAGATTTCAGAAGGGGAATACTGATGAAAATAATATTCAAGGTAATTTGTTTTAAAATAGCATTGTATAGACTATGAACAATCGTTCAAATCAGAAAAATACCAATGCTACAATAAAAAAAGAAGTGTTCTCAGTCATTATTTTCGCGGGGACCTTATTAAAAATAGCACTCGTGATTACCAAATATACAAGATTTTAAACGTGCTCTAACCTTCGAATACGCAATCTGTTATTCAAAAATAAGTAAAAGAGCAATTGGTTGTTTTTCTAGAGTCTGTCGATTACTATTAAAGTGGTGCAGTAAAGCACGAGCCTCTTACAATCAGATGTAAAGGGGAGTTCGTTAAATTTTAATGTTATTATTGGATTTTATTCCGATGGCTGTGCAAACGAATAGTGAATAACGGGAATGATCAATAAGATCACCCCCGCAAACAAATCCCAAATTAATGCTAGCATCAAAATATACCGTTACTAAATATAGATCGAGTTTTGAAATAAATTTAGCAACCGTTAATAATTGTTAAAATTGAGATTTGATTGTCAGCGTTAAATTTATCAATTTTATGTTAAGCCGCATCGCGAACTAATTTCTTTAGAAATGAGATACCAGCGGGATTTTTTCAATATAAAGAGAACCATCTCAACTCGAAAAAAAAAACTTCATCAGCTCTCAGTAATAATATAAAGCAATCTCTACAAGAGAATAATAAAAATTCCCAAAAAAACCAAAATATTTCTCATTTCGAAAAGTACATCCAAAACATAAATTTCATTCTATCAAATTTTTCACAAAAATGGTACCAAAATTTACTATTGCTTATATTGCCCTCTTGACTTTGGCTTTAACTTCTGTCCAAGGAAGGCCTTTTAACGGAAATAATAACGGTAACGGAAATACAGGCAATGGTAACGGAAACAACAATGGTAACAATAATGTTGGTTCGTTCAATGGTAACAACAATGGCAATGACAATTTTGGCTATTTCAACGGAAACAATAATGGAAACAATAACGTTGGTTCTAATAACGGAAATAATAATGGAAACTATAATTTAAAACGTGGTTCTAACAACGGTGGCAACGGTGGTAATGGTGGTAACGCAACTGGGGGAAACGCCAATGCCAATGCTGGAAATAATGGCCAAGCTAACGCCACCGG